TCAAACACAAGCCCTCAGTCTTCTCTTTTACAACCACAATCAGCAACAGACAGAAGGGGATAAAAAATGCAAATGTAGAGCCTTGCTAGAGGGATCCTAAACACAAGGAAGGGACTGTAGGCACTTTGTAATTTTCATGTCCTCTTGGGTGTTTGGAAAGAAATTGCTGGAGGGAGAAACTATAAATCCATGAATTACTGAGTCCATGTTTACTTAGACTACCCAAGTATCTCCTTCCTTTTTTCCTCTTTTTTCTCGCTTTTTTTTTTTTTTTTTGGAAGGATGTATGTCATTGTTTGAAGTCAAACACTGAACAGAAATAGATAGAAGCAAATCAAGAGATTCCAGCTGAGTAATGGCTAGGAGAGACTCTCCAGATAAGTGATGGTGTACAGCACTGCAAGTCTTTCAGAGCCCTTCATGACCTGATGAGAATCAGTCAGCAGCCCACAGAGACACTCACAACACAATATTGCATTAACCAGAATAACCAATAGGCCAAACTGGGTGTAGGAGGGATCTTGGTTCACATTTTCTCTTTCTTGCTTACAGCACTGGACTAAGATCTGCCTCTAAACTTAGTTTCCAGATGGTGTCATTACTTTCTTGGCTTTTCTGCACCTTTCTATGTTTCTCTGATTTTGTTCAGAAATACTACCTTAGGATCTGCTCCACTCAATCACCTAAGTTCTAGGGGAGCAGGAAAAAAAAAGTCATTTCTGATGAATTTTAATTTCTGAATGGAAAGCTAAAAATAATTCCCAAGTAGCTGTAATCAAAGCACAAGTATAAATCACACATTATTCACAGTTCAGCATCCAGTGGGAGTTTCTTGGGAGGGATTGCTTCCCCAGGGCCCTGGTTTTCAATGTGACACTGATGTGTTTGGCTTCTCTCCCACTTCTGTAGAGCACGAGTAAGATTCCAGCCTCAAGACTACAAATTCATTTGGGATGTTGACATCTGCAATCAAGCTGGATGGTTTAAAATGGTTCCCTTCATCCCCATAGGAATTCATTTATTCAATCTGTGGTAAGTGAGATACCTTTCCCTGTTTTGGCTATTACAAGAAAATAACAATAAAACTTTCACTTTTATTTCTCTTTCTTTCTAAATTTTCTACGTGCTTTGAGCTCTTATGGACTTAAGAATTCTCTGCTAATGCAGGCCCAGGAACATCTCTGTATCTGTACCTAGAGATTTCCTTTCCTTTCCCTCCACATTTCACTATGTGTCTCGGGTATTGTTCTACTTTCTCAGTTGCCAATGACTAATTTAAATTGTCCCAGTTTTCAACTCCCTCCTGGTAGCCTTCCCCAGTGATCTCAGAGGAATTTCCGGAGACACATCCCCTCCTTTCTTTCTCATACTCTGTCTCCCCACTCAATATCTAATAATTCATGTAAATTAATTCGTCAGTATCAAAACAATATTGAAGGGAGAAGGAGGATCTGACTGATCATGTGGACAGCTCTGGGAAAACAGTTTTTCTTTAAATCTCTATATCCTGCAATGCATCACCTAGAAACTGCCTTAATCAAAACTGTTCATGTTAGCCAGTGATACTTAAACAATCTTAAGGTAATCATTTTCAGGTGAACTGCATTTTCCAGGCAGTAGCCATAAATCCCTTCCTGCAGCTCAAGCCTAGCAGACCATTTCTACCCCTTAAACCTAAAATGACCTTGCCTTATAAAACTTCCCCTTTAAAAGAATACAATCCCTTAAAATGACACTTTCCACAAGTGTGTTTCCACATGTTCCAGCAGTATGAAAACAAAGATGGTTCGCTGATGAATCTATAGCTTTTGCTAACCCTGAAGCTGTGTAATTGCCAGAAAAGGGTTTCTCTGAGGCACCTGGGATGCCACAATCCCTTTTCCCCACTGGCATCAGTGCTATGACTGAGTTGTTCATTTATTACAAAGAGGTTCATCTATTTCACCATCTCCTCTGATAGTTTTAAGTTGTTCTGTATTCAGGTTTTATACTGCAGATATATCAGGCTTGATGAATGCAGACAGGAATTTTATTTCACTATCTTAAAATATTCAAATTTCACATGCACAATAAATATTGACAGGGAGGTGAAAGGAAGACTTCACTGCATCTCACAACAAAAGTTACGATGGCAGAAGGGAGTGGGTAGGGTGGGTGTGAAAAGCACAGCAAAAAGCTTTGAGTCTTTCACTGGGGCACTGAGTGGGGACTGAAACTGCTAAACCCCTGAAGAATCATGCCCTGCAAATGAGCCATCCTCTCCTTAGATCCATCTCCAAGATCCTCTGGGGGTGTGGGATCTTTTATGTTTCTGCACTCATTATCAATACCAAGGGACCAGTAAGTATTGCATAAATTCTCTTGCTCATATTTTGGTACTGTTTCGCTTTAATTGGTACTAGAATATAAAAAGGGAAACATAAGATAATTCAGCCTAGAAAAGACCTCAGGAGTTCTATAACCCGGCCTCCTACTCAAAGCAGGGTCAGCTCTGGAATCAGGGGAGGTTGTTTGGGGCTTTATTGAGTCAGGCCTTAAAAACCTCCAGGGATGGAGAATGCACAACCTTTCCAGACAGCTTCTGCTTTCAAAACTCACCTTTGCTTGCAATCTTGCATCTGCTATAGCTGCAGAAATCTGATGGGTTTTTTTTAATTTTTCTTTTTCAGTTCCCGGAAGCTCCAAATAGTCAAATAATATTTTCTAGCTGAGGACCTTAAGCAACTTGCAGTCTACAAGCTGCCATTGACTTCCAACACTGGGTTTCCAAAAGCTGTCCTACTGCAAGCCCTGGGCAGCCCCCACTCCCTGATGTGTGCGAGGTTCTGCCACAGGTCCTGCTGTAAGTCTGCAGGCACACTTGGCTCAGATTTGCTGCCTTTTTCATAGTCAGGAAAACCCATGTGTAGAGAAGTTTGTGATGTACATGTTGGCAGTGTAAAGTCTAAAAAAAAGGGAATTTCCATTCATTGCCCTCAGTGCCATTCTCTACATTGCCTCTCTTGCTGTCTATGCAAACTTCAGCCCAAGTCTGCTCTTAATGAAGTGGATTTATCCCATATGGGATCCACAGTCAACTCTTTAGCCGCCACTTGCTTTTATTGCCTCATCTTTTTTACTGTATCTATTTAAATTTAAAGTTAATTCATAGATCTTGTTCCTAATTTTGATTCTCTCCTCCACAAAACCATCATTCCCTGCTTTTCAAAGCTTTTCTTCACTGTGTTCTGGGCTGGTGTGAATCAGACCAACTCCAAGACGCTGCCAGGGGCAGCATCAGCGTTTGCATTTTTATGTGCAGTTCTGAAATCTGGCAATTAAGATGCCAAGAGACAAAGTCCTGCCTCTGGCAGCCTCTTTGCCCTTCACAGCAAGACATCTGAGCTGCTCCTCCATTAGGCTCCTCATCACCACAGCCATCAGCATCACACTTTACGGAAACTCACCGCCAAGTCGGCTCTCCTTAAAATTCTGCCCTGTGGTCCTGGCGCTGTTTGAAAAGTAGTTTAGTTATTGGTGAGTGGGATGAGGGTAAAGTAGGGCAGTTTGGGGAGGGAGGAAGGGGGAAGTGAACTGGCAGTGATAACCTCATCAGCTCCTCAAGATAAGTCGCCTCCTCTCATCACTCAGGGTCCCTAATCACAAAGGAAATGCAAAACTCCTTCACCAGAAACAACCCTTCCTTTGCAGCTGGCACAGCACTGCTGCCCATCTCCATATAACAGGGGTCTCTGTTATGGGAATATTTCTTCTCTATGAGGAAATTCACTAATAAAATTTATTTCAGATTGATACCATATAAGGTAGATATCCTCACTGAAAGTAAATTTTCCTTTCCCACCCCCAAAATACCTTTTTCTGGGGTGATCCACAAACTCTACTTGAGCCAGAAAATCAACGTTTTGTTTTCAATATCTTTATTACATGCCACAAATTACTTTAATTCACTTTTCTTTATTTCATAAACTTCCCCTCTAGAAATTTTTGTTCCAAAAAGAGAGAAAAATGTGCCCTGATATGACTGGCATTTTATGAGTTTTCTCCAAAATGAAATCCTCATTAGCTGATCTAATTTCTATAAATATTTTATCTTAATGGAATCATATATTTCAAAAGGAACATGGTTCATCCCCATGTCTTCTGAGTTTCTCTGTACTAGTTTAAAGATACTTATTCCAAGCTTCTATGGACTTTGTTGGATTTTGCTGTAACATTTTCATGGACCACGCAATGCCAGCCACAGGTGAGTACGATGGGAGATGCCTTACTGACCACAATTGCCACTCCAGCCTCCTCATGTCTTATTTGCATCACAGGGGGGATAGGAGCTGCTTTGATTTCCAACAGGTATCCAAACTTTGCTTGGAGTAGGAAGGTTTAATTTGTGTGAATTCTTTGAGCCATGCACAGCTCTGGCCGCGCCGCTGTCGCCAGCGGGGGCTCAGTGAATCACAGGGGCCCCCACAGCGAGCTGAGCACGAATTTCCCCCTGAGCTGCCTCTTTGAAGTGATGCTCCAGCTCAGCCCTCACAGGCCATGGGCAGGCTGACATTTTGTGCAGCTCCTCTTTGGCAACCAGGCTTGAAATAACAGCAAAGGAAGATCTTTGACCCTGGCTGATATTGCATATAACTAGATGCACTTCTGAAAATGCAGAGTTTTCACTGGCACAATATTGGAGAGGAGGAGGCAAGACAGAAAGAAATTTTTAATATGAAAAGGACAGGTATTTGTTTAAAATACTGCATGGGAAAGAACATTGTTTGTTTGGCTCAGTTCTGGTCCTGAATCTGTTTGCTGTGACATTTACTGTTAAATCACTACCAGATTATCTTCACTATTCAAGGAAAAGCTAAAATCCACTTGTTTTATCTCAGGGTAATTAGTTTGAGGGCTCTGAGGTTGAACTCATTATGCTCAGCTTGTAAAGCTAGTGTCCTTTTCCAAATTTTCTCTTCTTTATGTTGAAGCTGTTACAGTTTGTAGCCAAAAATTACTTGTTCTCCACCCCCATTTCAGCACTGTTATATCCACGCTCTTCAACCCTAACTAGCTGAAACAACTCTAATCACCTATTTTTACTGTTTGAGTTAGGCAGTGTTCACAGGACTCATTTTGCCAGAAGAACTGAAATGCTTGCAGAAGGGAAAAAGGGAAAGGGATACAAACTCAGAGCTGCAAAATAGCAGCTGAACATGATAATATCATCAGCTGGAAGAGGTGGCTGCACACTGAGCATCTGTCTATAGCCTAAAATGACTGTTTTGTTTGGGGATTTGTTTGTTTGTTGGTTGGAGTTTTGGTTTGTTATGCTGCAGGATCACTCCTAACTGCTAATACAATTAAGAAAGAAACTTCAGAAAAAGATCACCAAGTCCTGTGGTTTTTAATTCCCCATTGGGCTTTAGGAAGAAGTAGTTTGTGGCAAACAAGGAAGACAAACCTGAATCCTTTGCTGCATCCTTCCTCCTGTTTAAGAAGATTTGTGATTCTACATCTAAATCCAAAAACTTTCCACGTGGCCCTGGTAAGTTACATAAGCTAAACTTTTCACAATTTGATGTCTAAAACTAATCCTTTAATCCATATTTAGGAGCCTGTAATTAACTCGTCTTAAATGTTATCTGCAGGTGCTCAGACATACTGAAAAATTGATAAAGTGTATGCTTATTCTTACTTAAGGCACCCAAATTTGAATTTTTCGACCATAATGACTGCTCCTAGGTGTTAATGAAGACTTTCATACATTGAAGGGTTCTTCTGATTAAGAAATTTTAAATCACACTTCTCTGTAACTACTGAAAATTATGCTTCAAGCACCAAAAGAAGTCCAAAGTGGCAAGAAGTAAATTCTAGCAATCTTTTCTCTATTCCATGAGAGGCATTTTTAGTCAATGTTCTTTTTGCAGTGTTTGGGGGAACCTCTCTCCTCCCATGAATTCTGTAAAAATCTGGGTGACTCATATGTTTAACAGAGAGGCACTTGCTGAAGGTCATGGCACAGGAGATGGGGGGAATAAGAGCTGTCTGTACAGAGATTCTGGCTGAACTCTTGGGGAAACAAGTTTGTCCTAATAGCTAAGGTGAATTAATTTAACTCTTTGTTCTCTGGCTCATGGATTACAGCTACAGAGAAATTTTTTTCTGAGAAACTTAAGCTTTTCAACAAGCTTCCATTAGTTTAGAAGTAGCAATAGATTCCCACCTGTCCAAATGGTCCAAGCACTCTTACCTCCTTTCCCATCTGTCATCATCTCCCTCTTCCTAAGGTTACTGGATTGTTTTGCTTTAATGGAGAAGTAACTGTGGGATTTCAACATTGCCTAGTAAGTGGGAGACAAAGGGGAAAAAAGGATAAAATAAGTAAAGATGTGATGTTTTCTTTTATCAGACTCTTCTTAAGGTTCCTTCCCTCCATTTCTATTACAGAGGGACCAGCCAGACAATCCCTGTCAGATGATTTAGGGTGAGTAATGAGGGTCTTGGTTACTACTTTTCTATGGACTGATGCACAGGATTTGTCAGGGGGGTGGATTTTGGGGTAGGAAGTGCCAGGTGAAGTCTCAGAGGCTGCACTCCTAAGCACTGGCCATTATCTCTTTCCCCAGGGCTGAGCCATAGGACCAGGAGCTGAAGGACTGGTGTGTCACAGGCTTTTGTTTCTGGAACAGAATTTCCCCAAGTGGCTGATAACAGGCTCAGTCTATTCTGTGAAGGATGTCTTTAGAGCCTGCCCTGATACATTTATTATAAACAAAAGCTACAGAATGTTAAATTTTGTCTCTAACAAAATGCTGTTCTGGCTATTCAGATAAAAACAGGTTTGGCTTGAAGTTTTTTAGATGCAGAGCTGCTTTGCTGTAGGAATTCTCACGTATTAAGGAAAGATCAATACCACAGCTAATGGCCTAAGGTATTAGAAAACCTCACTGGAGGAAATGAGAATGTTGTCTGGAAACCAGATGATGATAATCCTCAGGATAAATGGATTTAGAGATTTCCGAAGCTGTTTTAGTAAACAGAGGACAGACTTAGGCAGTTATTTCAACAAGTTCCTTTACAAAAGAGAAAGAGATTGCCATTTTCCTGTTTGGTTTTAGTCTTGACATTGATGAGTTGCAGCGAATACTTATTAACCTCTTAGATGCAGAACCGACCTTTTAATAAAGCAACCTCTTCTTCTTTACAGAGAAACCTTAACACCAGCTATTTTGTCCTGCAAACATTGTCCTTGCACATGCTGTTTACAAAGCTGGCAGAGAGCCATTGGTTTCCCTGGAGTTGAGCAAAGGCAGGTGGAAAACTCATAAAGGACTTAAGGCAGAACTCAGATGTTGGAACCCAAGAAATTTCTCAGGGGATGCCCTGGAGGGTTCGAGCCCCTGCCCAAGGGGACTCTGAGACCTTGACACAAAGCCCAAGACACCTCTGACTTTGATTTTGGCCCATGGAGCAAATTACCACCTATATACGAAGAATTACAAGTCAAAAGAATTTAAGCAGAATAATAGTTAGTTTGTCACAGAGTGAAAAATAGATTTTTGAGGTTTTTAGAATAGAGGCTCGGAGACCAAAGATGAAGGAATTTTGGCATACCCCGTCCTTTTTCCTTCTTCTTCCCAGCCTCCATTTTCTAAGTGATGCTGGCACTTTTAGATTGGTTGAAGGTAGAAACCCACTGTCTAACATAGATGATAGGTATTAGGAAGTTATGGTAAATAATGTACACGTAATTTTTAGTATAAAAAGATAACACTGCCCCGAGGGCGGCCAGTATGCCTCAACCCAACCTACCAGACCTATGGCGGGTCAGAGAAAGAATGTTATAGATAAGAAATAATAAACAACCGTGAGAGCGAGAACAGAAAAATCCTGACTACTTCTTCATCTGCCAGGCTGAGAAAAAGAGGCTTGTACGTCTCTCAGAGTTACTCTGACCAACAGAGATTCTGAGACTCAGACAAGTACCAGGGAGCACAGGTGCCTTGACTCTGCTCTGGGCTCATGGCTGTGAACCAGCAAGAACCAGAGCAGAGCAGTGTTCAGAGTAGTTCAGTAAGTCCATCCAAACCAAAGCCCAGGTGCCCAGGGTCAGAGGTCCATCCAGACCACCCCACTCCATTCATCCTCTCTCTCACCACCCCTGCAGACACCTCTTCCCAAAGACAGTGATTCATGGACTGGGTCATCTCTTTCCCTGTGAAAGCTGTTTAATGATTTAGTTCACATTTGTTATATTTTTAACATTTACTGCTTCTTCTACGAGGATAAAAAACCCCAAATACAGCATCTGAGATCTGTGAGCTTGTGTTTCTTCTGCAGCTGCTTAGCAATGTGTTCTGCATTGCTCACTGTTCTTTCCTGTATTTTCTTTCCTGTTACAGAGGGCTGAGCTTAAGGGTTTCATTTTCTCACTCTTTGAATAGAAGCATTTAATCTGCTTTTCAGGTTTTCAATGGATTTTGGTGCATCAGCTGAACTCCCCAGGCTGTGTGCAGAACGAGATCATCAGAAAGGTGAAACACAGAGGTTTAAATCACTCAAAGTGCCAAAGCAGTTACCTTGCAGTCAGAGCAGGGTCAGCTACACCCACTGACTCTGCCCAGGGAAGCTGTGGCTGCCCCATCCCCTGAAGTGTTCAAGGCCAGGTTGGATGGGGTTGAAACAACCTGGTCTAGGGGAAGGTGTCCCTGCCCATGTCAGAGGGGTTGGAACAATCTTTAAGGTCCCTTCCAATCCAAAGCATTCCATAATGTCGTGACCATTCCATGTGCTATATTTGGTCCAGCACTGCCATTTTCCACATGTACCATATCCTTCTGCTCACATGGTTATTGGGGCAGTAATAACTCATCCCTCTGTCCCATGGGGCCTCATTTTCATCAGCCACTTTGTCTGAAAAAAGTAATGTGATACTGTTAAACTGAGAGCAGTTACACCTTGCCCTACCTCGTTTCTCTGCTTGAGAATTGCAGAAAGGGCTATGTGCATGGAAACTCATCTGCTTTTTTCCAGGTGTTTCTGTTGGTCTAATAAATGATATTACTTCTCTACAGTAACTTTTCCTTTCACACATCCTTAAAACTTGTTAGTTGTAAGAGTACTATCACTACAATATGTTATTATGGCTATTGTATTTCTGACTGAGCTGTAAAATCAAGGATCTTACAGTCATTAAAAATCCCCCAACACTCCTCATGAAAATAGACATGTTCATTCAGGTTCCCTTGCCCAGCGAGCACAATCTTTACATGATGTTTCAGCTGAATTGTGGCTCCCTTTACTTTCAGTTGTAACTGAGGGTTGTTAAACAGCTGCCATGATTCCCTGTGCTCCCCCAAGAGACCAAGCTGCAAATGAATTATAGATGTAACACAAGCAGTCTTGCACAGGTGTCACCCAAAGCCTCTGACGTGGCTCAGAATCATACAGTTATTGTCCTGTCAGACCACTGAAACAAAAATCCCTGGGCTTTGTGAGAGGACCCCAGTGCATTGATTGCTACAAAGGAGACAGAGGATCTTTGACTTGAGATAAAAAGGTATCAGACATCTGTGATTAACGATCAGCAAAACTTGAGTGTTGTAGAGAGAGCTTTTAATTGATTCTGGTAATGTTCCTCTCTGTCTGCATATTTATGCACCAGATGTACATATGCAAAGTGTTTTGATGTGCAGATCCTACGTGTGTGACCATAGATAAAATCTGGGAGAGGAATATGTGACAGGGCTACAAGAGTCCCCACACACCAGGGATTTGGCTGCTGGCTCAAGGGACCATCATGGATATCTCAGGCTGTGTCATCCTGGATCCCCTCACTGATCCTTATCCCCAACCACATCCAGGCACATCCCAGCCTGGATGTGGCCAAGGAGGGGAGAGGGGAGGGGATTCTGAGTTTTCACATTGAAAAAAGAAGACAGCAAGAGAGGGGAGGAAGGAGAAGAGGGAGAAGGCAAAAGAAGGCAGGAAGAGGAGGAGTAGGAAAGGAGATGGGGAAAAAGGAGAAAAACAGAGGAAGAACTACAGAATACAGTGCAAATATCTCCTTACAACTACAATTAAATGTAGACTCCTCCAAAAGAAGAAACAAGGAGATGAGAGTGAGGACTGAAGCTTGGACTCTGTCCAGATGCTCAATTGACTTTGTCATTCCTGTCCTATTTTGACCTTTCCATTTTTCAAGGGTAATTAAACACTCCAGCTTCAGATTGGATCTTGCTTCAACTAGTGATTCACCTCCACTGACAAGGTAAAGAGCTACCCAGGAAAGGTCCAGCCTGGCTGCCCAAACAGTCATGTCCATATTGGTCTTATTTTATGTGAATATAATGCCACCAAGTAATTAGCAATAAAAATACTGTGTAAGAGCAGTGTGTGACATTAGGTTTGAGTAATTTGGTCTTTAACCCATCTAGCAGCTACTGCAGGATGCACTAAGTGACTGAAAACCATATATCTCATTACAATAAATATTTTATAGATGACATCTCAGCCCAAATCACCTTCCATGACATTGTTTTTAAATCCACTGGCAGGTGATAGGGTGATTTCAGTGTCTGGTCATTGGAAAAGAAGTCTTCTGTTGCCACTTTAAAATCAACCCATATTCATAACAACAAAGTGCTTTCATTTGGTGCGTGTCAAACATCAACAGTGCAATAAACTGGTGACTCTGCTCTAATTTCTGTCACTCAGAGGACAAAGGACCACTTCTTCCCCACCCTGGGTGCCTATTTACCATTTCTCACCCTTGGGCTGATGCCTACTTGTGAGAAAGCTCTCACAGTGGACATCCTGCTATATTTGTTTTGTGGAGAGGCAGAAGAATTTGCTATTTAAGGCTGGAAATCTGGCCTTTTCACAAGTGCTGAGAATCGCACCTTTGCATTTCCTGCTGGATCCCTGCTACATAAGGTGAGCAAAGGTAACCACACTGCTGATATTTGCAGTAGTCCTTCATCTCACTCCTGTTGGGACTGTTCCCATGCACATAAGTACTCCTCATCTCTGACGTCTGAAGGCAGCTCTTTATCCATTCTTATGTGGCTGTGAGTGACAAAGCACCAGAGAAAGCTTACCAACTGTGAAATTTATTAGACAGGAGAGCAAAGTCCTCTGGGGGAAGTGTTGGAACAAAACTCCCTCAGAGAAGGTTTTGGAGAGGATAAAATATTATGGAGGGAGGTGTAGTGTTTTGGTACTGCAGTGACAAGAGTTGAGCAGGTTCTTAAAAGTACTTTTCATTTCCAAAAATAAGGCAGAACATGGGAAAAACCTTCCCCACTCATCAGGTGGCCTCTTTTGCCATTGTGCTATACAACATTTTTCATTATTTAAGCTTATGCTCCATCTTTAAATCACTCAGGATTCTCTCCACACCCTCCAAGAAGAGGGATATCTGATTAATTAAAGCATCTGGGTCATTCATTCAAGTGCCTCCCCAGACATGAGTAGAAGGCCATG